AACCTCGATCTTTCGATACACAAAAGAAGATTACTTAATACTTACTGTGTATATATTTCAAGAACAACATAACACAACAATAAACAATTATACCCTTTTTTATGCATCGTTATTATTATTCCATGAAAAATCATGGACTATAAGTTTTATGAAACAAGTTTAAGTCAGTCGATCTTTTGCAGAGACTTTTAATTTCGTTCAACTGCCGAGTTTAATAAGCGAGTTAGATTCTGCGCATGCGCGAAAAATCCTCCGTGACCTTTTCGCTGGATCAATTGGGATACATATTGGTCGGTGCTGTGCTTACACACAACAGTGAACGGGGAATGTTAGCATTTATCACGTACTAGATACGATTTTTTTTTTACATCATGACATCATTCCTTTTCTACAAATCATCTTGAGCTGGTAACTGGATATATTTTCCTTCTTTTCCTTTTGTTTTGTACGTGATCAGCAAATGATTAAGTATTTTTCTTCTTTGCAATCGGCAGTTGCCTCCACAGAGGCGAAAGTATGCCGTGTCCCGACTGGTGCCCCATATAGTATATTTTGTGTAAGCCGTCTGCTTCGCATGGCAATCGTTAAAAAAGGTCGTGATTCTGACCTTAAAATTTGATAACCGGTGTTAATAATAACTCATATGAAGGCTCTTCCATGCTAGTTCAGCCTGTATATCACTTAAAATAATTATGGCCTACTTGATCTAAACTTACCTGATTACGCATATTTTGTTTGTTTTGCCTGATCATGTTGATTGAACTGAAGTGAAGAAAAAGAGTGACTAAATTCAGACTAAAGCTAGATCTCTAGTCTATGTAATCGAAACAAAAGACACTGAGACCGATTTGAATTTAAGAAATGTATACAAAACCGTATAACAAGGACTGGACTTCTAGTTATACCTATCCATTGACTAAAATAAGTAGTTTCACTTCACTTCCTGTTAAATTCTTTCAATCAATGACAATGAATGCTGCCACTGTGCCAGCTGTAAATTCACCTTCACTGTCCTGCTTGCCCAAAGACATCATAAGCAGTGCTGATGTTCTCTTGGCATTGCCAATGGGATGTTATTCCATTACAGCTAGCATGTGTTATACCCCTTCACATACACGGATTTTGCTTACGAGTCCTTACGGATCGCCAACTCGTAGTCAATCGCAAGAATCCGTAAATAACTTGCTGGTATCCGTAAAAAACTCGTCACAACTTGCAACAAATCGTAGACACTCTTAAGGATCCGTGAAAGGAGAGGCACATTTTTTGACATGTCAAAAATCTTCTTACGATTGTCCACGGATTGATTTGTACGTAAATAGCTCGTAAACAGCTCGTAACAATCCGTAAACATCCGTAACCGCTCGCAACAACACGTGACCATCCGTTAACTGCTCGCAAGAATCCGTAAATGACTCGTAACAGATTTTTATAACGATTCATTGCGGTTAGTTTACAATTTGTTTACGGATTATTTACGGATTATTGCGAGCAGTTTACAGATGGTTACGTGTGATTACGTGTGTTTACGATTTTATTCGGGTCATTTTACGATGGCATTACGGATTGAAACGGGATATTACGAGAATTTTAGATGTTATTACGAGTACTTTACGAATAGATACGCATACTTTACGTATGCTTACAAACTTTTTTACGATTTGGGGAAAGGTATAAAAGCTGCAAATTCGAACACTTCATTTTCAGTTGTTATTTTTTGGCTAAAAATCGTAAGGACTCGTAAATACTCGTAACTTACTTGTAACTACTCGTAACAACACGTAAACTCTTTATTTAAAAAAAAATATTTTTCTCTCTTTTTTACAATCAGACTATCATCATGGGGAGAATCTGTGCTGTTATTGGGTGCTCAAACAGTACATTCAAGCTTGATAAATGGTATTCACAATTGTGTGACAGACATGGCCTGAAATATGGGGCCTGCGTATGCACACCACCTTTTGTACCATTCCCTTTTCCTTTGCAAAATAAAGATGCAGACGGCCGTCGACGATGGATAAAGGCGATAAATCGAAAACGTCCAAATGGCAAAAACTGGGAACCAACGTATGGAGATAGGGTTTGCTCATATCACTTTCGAGATGGACAACCTAGTGCAGCGTGGCCAGACCCAACAATGAATCTGGGATACAGCTCAGCACACCAGTCTTCACATAAATCTCCTCGTCGCCTCAGTGCCCAGAAAAGAAGAAATCAACAAGTAAACGGAAGAGAAAGAAAGTCGACTTGACAGGAGATCCTGACTCATATAAAAACCTCTACGGCTAAGGAGCACTAGAAGTCAGTGAGACAGCTTCAAGTAAATAAAAGAGGAAATCAACATGTAAACGGAAGAGAAAGGATGTCGACTTGACAGGAGATCCTGACTTTCATGGATCCTCTACTCTTGATGAGCACCAAGAAATTGATGAGACAGCTTCAAGTAATAAGGAGAAAAGATCTGATCATATTGTTGGTGCACATCTCACTGATCACAATTATGGGCTACATTGTGATAACAGATTATGTACCTGCCTTGGCTGTGTTGCAAAGCAAAAACAAATTGAAGATCTACAACAGAGGAATAGTCATTTACAGGAAAAGCTGAAAGCTACAAAGAAACAGCATGGTAAGAAAGGTGATTTTGATATGACTACTGTTGTCACGAGAACTGATAAAACTGTCAGATTGTACAATGGATTTGAATCCAAAAAGTCACGAGTAATATGTCCTTTCCTTTTATTCGTCTGATGAAAGGGACATAATGTTTCTGGTGATTTGTTGAACTATTTGATTGGAGCCAAGGAGCCCTATGTCTATATTAATTAAGAGAAGCAAATATAGGCTATGCAGGAATGCAGTAATTGTGCTACAGTGTCATATGTGGTTATTTTCTCTTACCAACTATGCATAGTGGAAACTGAAACCGGTCATTCATGTTGTCAATAAAATGTGATTTTGATATGAAAACAAATTGTTTAATCTTATGATTTTATTAATTATAATATGATGTAAAGAGTGCATGTGCACCCTGCAATGTGCAATTCTACACCATATACAGGTTGCAAATCTGCACCCCTAAAGGTGCTTGCTTCCATCCCAAGGGGTGTATGTATGCACCCTTCAGGGAACAATTGTGGACCCCAAACCCCGCACCCTATATGGGACAAGTCTGCACCACAAATTGGGGTGCAAACGAGCACCCGTAGGGGTGCAGACCGCTGCTACGATAGCAGCCACCTATAGGGTGCAGATCTGCACCCCAAATAGCGGTGCAATTTTGCACCCAAATTGGGGGTGTAAAATTGCACCCTATAGGTGGGCTGCTATTGTAGCAGCGGTCTGCACCCTATAGGGTGCAAATTTGTACCATTATTTTGTAGTGTGTACCCCCCCCCCCATCAGTACGCCAGCGTTCAGGGGCTCATGTCTTCTCACCCCTATAACAAAAAACACATACGCTTTTACAATATTTCCACGATATGCGCGTATCGCTAATATGAAAACCTCCATTGATATGGGTGGCATGCGGAATGTTTAGGAAAATTAATTCCTGTTAACTTTTCTTTGAATGGAATTTTATATGTGATTTAATTCAGGTTTTTTTTTTATTATTGTTATGTTCTTTGGGTTTAAAAATACTAACCATCTTTACTCCTTTACTGCTTTTCTTACCCCCCAACCCCACTGTTTTGGTTCGGGGTGTGGGGTGGAGAGGCGGGGGCAAGTGCCCCCCCCCGCCACCCCACTTCCGGCGCCTATGTCCTACCCTTCCCCGCCTCCTTATTTTCATCATCATCACCATCGTCACAATAATATATCGTAATATTAATATTAATATAATATTATCGTTTTCATCATCAACATCATCATCATCATCATTATCATATCAACATCATCATCATCATCACCATCATCATCATTATCATAATCTACATCATTATCTCCAATATAAAAACCTGTGATTTTCGCAGAGAGGTGTAAAGGAATTGAATGCAGAGAAATTTGCGGGTAGAAGTATTTATTAATCAATAGGCCCAAACAAATTCCAATACCAATCCGAAAAAAACTATATCAAAGAGAACGACATTACGATTACGTCATGTTTATATATTACACGTAAACACTATATCTCAAACAGATATACAGTACTTATATTATCATTTTTGAAAGTATAGACATTCGGAATAATGAACCCTATTTCACTTTTGGAATAAACGAAACTTCGGAATAACGCAACAAAATGTATGAAACCCTATTTCATTTTTTCGGAATTATGACCCCCTGGTGTGGGAAATTTGGGTTTAGGAATAACCATAATTATGATGATGAACCTACGGATTATCATGAGCATTTGGAAAATTTAACTTTCGGGAAAAACGAACGAATGAATGAATTTGTTACCATTTCTGAAAAGAATATATTTACAGGGTATAACAAAACTACATGTATATGGTAATGGGACACCATGAAACGGCTGAAATGGACAATGCCGGAAAATATGGTTCCCTGATCATGCTGATTATGATACGTCATATTACTGGGATAATAATTAAACAATATTGACTGCCTTCAGGGCAATACGACATAATCGCCAGAACCGAAGGTGAGGGTGATATACAACTGTATGGATATGAGAAGCCGTATTGCCCTGAATTAAGCAGTTAATATATGCGCAATGAAAGTTAGAAATACCTGGATGTTGGATCTACAATTGCCCGCTAGTTTAACAAGCATTTTGCGTTGACTTTTCTGATCGGGCAAAAATATTTGTTCATTGGTTAACTGTGTATTATTATTCAATAATATTTCTTTCGCCCGTAGTTTTGTTGGCTTATCATTGAAAACTTGAAAATTGCCTTGCTCAGATGTCTGATACGGTTAATAATAATTTTTTTTCAAAACTAGTTAAAAAGCAAAGCACTTTATTTTATATCATAATAAATTAAGATAGCAAACTGCTTTATGATTAAATGCCTTGGAAATGGTTTATAATAATTATGATGTATTTCAAAACTACTTAAAAAGCAAAGCACTGTATTTTATCTCATAATAAATTAAGATAGCAAACTACTATGATTATACACCTTGGAAATGTGAAGAAAAAAAAAAACGAGTGCTTCCCATCCAGTTGTTCTTATTTTGTATTCTTTAGCCAATCTTATCATATGTGACGAAAGAAATGAAATGAAATGACATAAAATCATTAAAATCTTGGTCGGAGTCGTTTGTCGACCAGCTCAAAACGGAATGAGATCGGTGTGGTCTTTGACGACCACCACGCCCACTGCGATCTCATTGGTTTTCTTGGGCTGTCGTTCGGGTTATCGGTGCCTTCATTATTATAATTCCTTCTGGGTTTCTAGATAAGAACCATGATTTCATTCCGATGAGGCTGAGGGTCCGTTGGTTTGTCATAAGCTGTAAGAGAAATACAATAAATAAATAAGTACATCAAATTACTTGTACGTTTAATTTTTCTTAACTAAGGGTTTACGTAGCCTCATCAGCTTCACCCTTGTTCATCCTGATGGCCCTTCAATTGTTAATGTTGTTTGCTTGTTTGTTTGTTTTACCGGACTGCTAAAAAGTCATGTGTATGTTTGAAGGAAGCAAGGAGGGGACCGAAGGCTTTAGGTCCTCTCCGAGGGACTTGTTATTGCCAGGTACACATTCACACCGAGGTGGAGAGTAGCACATGTGGATTAGTGTCTGGCCAAAGGACGTTAGTGTCGGCACGCTGAGATTTGAACCCTCAAACCTTGGATATAAATTGAGTGAATGAACCACTTTACCACGACACCTCAATGATGTGATGATGATGATGATGATGATGACAATAATAATAATAATAATAATAATAATAATAACAATAATTATTATAATAATGACAGTAATAATAATAATTATAATAATAACAACAACAATAACAATAATAATAATAATAAATACTACTAATACTAAAATAAATAATAGTAATCATCTTTATCATCGTCGTCATCATCACCAATAATAAACAATAAAGAGAATAATAATAGTATTGTTGTATGTTGTTATGAGAGGATGGTTATCGGGAAAGTTTTCTTAAGTGGATGATTTCCACATGTACTACATAATTACTCACCTGCAATAAAGTACCAGTCTTCAAAGTATGTCTTGCCCTGCGCGTTGAGGTATCCACGAAGCTGTTCGTATTGCTCCACCGCATTGTGATTCTCGCCAACATAGGTGATGCCGTAGAACTCCAGAGAATCTGCCAAGTGCAGTATCGTCACCCCAGAGTCCTTTAAAAAAATGAAATCCACAATATCGATTAATTCTACTGAACAAAATGACTTAAGATCAAGTCACTTTGTACTTCAATCTTTCAAAGAGATTAATAGATTTGAAACATTTCCCGTTGATTATCATGTTTTCAAACAGAAGTTGTAGCTTTTTTTTTGGGAGGGTAGGGGGGGGGGGGTTACAACGTACCCCAATTGGTTCGGTCTTATTCAAGATTATTTAAGTAACATTTGGGCCGTCACTGCCTTTCAACAAGATGATAATGAGAAAGAAGGAATAACGAGTCCTTAAGGGCCTATCTCACTGAGCGGCGAATGCTTGCAAACGTAGCGAATTTGGGGTTTCGCCAGAGTTTGTAAAATGTTGTAAAAGGTTGCAAGAAAGATCGCAAACAGTTTTCTTTGTTGTAAACAGTTTTTCTTGTCGCAAAGAAATTTTGAACATGTTCAAAATTTCTTTGCGAATTTATTTTTCCGCAAACAGTTGCAGGCGTTTGCAAAACAGTCGTAAGCCTTTGCAAACGGTTGTTAAACGGTTTTGCTCTTTTTTTCGTCAGTTCTCTGTGTTTCGCCAAAGCTAGCGACCACGTTACCATATGGTTCCTTTATAAAATCGACCCATTGAGTACCAGTAGTTAGCAAAAGGTCTGAAACGTTCATAAATAGTGGCAAAGGATTGGCAAATAGTTGCTAATCTTCGCAAAAGTTGTCGCTAACATTTGTTTACAGTCGCTAATAGTCGCCAACTGCCTTTCGCAAACACTTTCGGAGACATTCGCTCAAATGTTGCTAATTGTCGCTAAACGTCACTTAATGTCGCTGATTTTCGCCAACATTCGTCAGAAAAGTTGGCGAATCCAAATTCGCAACGTTCGCAAGCATTCGCTGCTCAGTGAGATAGGCCCTTTAGATCCTCAAAACTGCCGATGTAAAGAAAAGCTTGATTAGAAAGTAAGGATGCCAGCAACTATAGTGGACCAGGCAGGTATGGCAGGCGGAACGTGCCATATTAATTACAGCTATACAACTTATATACCTCACCTTAAGAAATCAAGCCGTCTGATTGGTCGGAATTGGAGACGTGATTTTAGCCATTCCCGTAAAGAAAAAAAAAAATGTCAATACCGGTTTAGTCCAAGAGTGAGATCCCTCAAAACTCCGGTTACCATTAAAATAGCAAAATTTTGCTGCGATACCCATTGGTTTACGTGTTAAAATGTTCCTTGTGCAAGTGCTTTTTGTCTGCGATTCCCAATGATTGAAATTTTCAGTCATTTCTTAAGCAAAGATTACACACAGTGTCTCAGATTTTCAGTGATGTTTTAACCAATCTCTACTCAATAAATGGATAAGGTAAGAATTTGTGATAGATTTTTGTTTCAATTCGACATATAAAAGACATATCGACTGCTTTAATATTCGAGGCCTGGCTGCTTTATATGCTGTCGGGAACTAGCACGTCCTGCCATGACCCCTCGGCGGCCGGCGCAATTTTTTTTACACGCTAGCCTGGCCAGTTTCGCAATAATACTCGTAAAAGTGCGCTGGTGGGAAAGCCTACACATACATATAAAATACTATATAAATTTAGTCTTTATTTGAGGACAAAGGCAGCAAGTCTAGCACTTTCTTAAATTAACAATGCCTTTACTCATATGTGTAAATAGAATTGAAGTAGTTATTAATTTAGGTATGTGCACACAACATGTTATTAGTTCAATACTATCTTTATGTATCTCTTTTTTTTCTTATATCAAAATTGTTAAATTGATATCAATAATATTTTCAGTAATTCATTAATTCATATAAAAATTTACTGGTTCCAGTAACTTTCGTTTTCAATTGCTTCCATTTACAGGGGGTGGTTAATAATAACCCAAAGAGTAATGTTAAATCTCTGATTGTACAAAGACAACAAGCTTGGCATGTACATAACCAAGTCCTTTGGCGTCACTTAAGAAAGAAGGTAATCTTTGCTATAAAAGCCGCAAAGTCTTACCCACCTACAATCGATGAATTAATTAAGACCAATTGCCATTGCGTCATATGACGCGTTTCAACCCGTTTTTACAAACCAGGTTTGTAAAAAACGCGTCAAAACGCGTCATATGACGTACATAAACCTCGGTTTGTCGACAAACCTCCTTTGTGAATTCGGGCCTATAGGAGTGGGGTCTCATGGGGAATTTTTCACCATCACGATGTTTACCCAATAAAAGGACCCTCTTCATAGTGACTCTATAAAAAAAAAAAAAAAAAAAAAAAAAACACCGATAGAATTTGTCTTATGAACACAAAGTTAGGCCGTGTATGCTTTTCATACTGCCGGAGAAATTCACTCGCGTAGGTCCATGCTTGGGCGAGCCTCGGCCGCCGGAAGTGAATAATTATTGCGCAGTCGATTGCTAGCTGGGCGCGCTTTGATTTTGGATTCAGTCGGCAGCCCAACTAGCTAGCACTATAGCTCAATGCAGCTCGATTGAAGTCAGCGAAATGGTCATCAATTAATTTTACAAGCGCTAGATCATATCGCACTGGTGGAATACAATCATGGATCTACGGCGGTTGCTTCTATTTCCTTTATTACGGACATTACAGTTTATAACAAGCATTTAAAAAAAAAAGCAATTTGTCTGGCTGCAAATCCGTAATTTGGCTTCATACTCAGTATGAGGCCAAATTACGCAGGAGGAAGCAACAGTTTTGCCGATCTCGAGCGCGGGGGTTGTGGCTATTCAGCGCTGCACCTTTGATCAATACCCCCGCAGTTTTTCTCCCAAACCCATTCATATACAGAGTTTCATCAGAGTCACACAAGAATTTCACCTGCTCTTGAGCAGGAGAATTTCATTGCTTATTTCTTTTCTATTTTCTCGGCTATTTCCCCGGACATTTTCAGTGCAGGCCCCGTTGCACAAAACTTACCATTGATGGTAACTGTGCCCGCAATGGTAATTACCATGGGAACCTTGATTTTGATTGGCTGTTGAGCCCTGTTACTATTTTATTTGCTATTGATGGCAAAGTTCCATCAGTGGTAAGTTTTATGCAACGGGGTCTGCACTGTGCCCTGAACCTACCGCCATAAGGAATTCTCATAAAAATAAAGCTTCCCTCATCATCGAGATATGGATTGGCAAGCTGAAGTATTTTCTGGCGGGACAACGGGTTCACTGTCTGTTTAAGATGTTTAAGCCCAACGAAATCTGGTGTCAGCGAATTATGAAGCAATACATGCACATGTATATTAACTACTATATGGTACTATGTCCCAATTGCAGGCCAAACAAATTAAATAATAATAATAATAATAGCCTAATAGTCCACTCCAAATTTTATTAAACCGAAACGGAAATTCTTTTTGCCCAATTGATCGTGAGCCCGGCAGCCACTGAGCATCGCCAGAAATTCCAACGGCATTTGAAAGATAAAACTAATTTAGAACTTCCCTTAAAACAAAAGGACTTGAAAATGTCTGTTGAATCGAATTTAGCGAGCGCGCTCGTTTAATTAAATGGTCTGATTTTCAAACCCTTGTACCCAATGGTCGTACGTTTTGTGCTGCGCAAAGATTCAGTCAGTTTAATTTGGCTATTACAAGAAGTGGGTAATGGATGTAGACAAATGCTCATGTAGGCTACTGTATGTTATTACCAAAGAAAAAAGAAGTCAGTCAGTCAGTCACCCCAACTAGTGTCTGACAGTGAAGTCTAGAAAGTAAACGGGTTTACTTGCATGTTTCCTTGAATACTAGGACACTGCTAACGTTTAAATATTACAGATAGAATATACGTATAATTATGTATATTATATTCATAATTCCTGCAAAGTTCTACATAATTTGATGTTGGCTGAAAAGGGGATACACTACCTGGGCTTTAAGTTTTGTACCTGTGATGGGGTTGGGGGGGTTGCTTGCGAAGCTACAGGGATGAAGAAGAGCAGTTCGTAGCTTTGGTCACAGCAAGGGTAAGATCCTGATTGGTCGGAACACGAGGAATTAGATGACACGGGTATGTTTTCCGAGACTTTCAAAATCATTGGTTTCGTCTCATCAATCCCGTTGGCTAGCAAAACAATTCGACATGAAAGAAATGTTGATAGAATAAGACGAAGCAGGCCTAATACAATATTTATGTTTACAAGTGCCAAAGTATACATCCCTCCTACATTGGCTTGAAACAATTCATCAAGATTAAAAAAAGAAACGGAATATAACATTGCCAAAAAAGAATGTAACTTGCCGTTTCATTTTAGGAAGCGGAAGTTTAAAATCATCTGCTATCTTCACTTTTCTCCCATGTCAAATGACTGATTTAAAATGATATCCATGCTAATATTTTAAAGGAAGAGGGGGAGTCATTTGTTCTTGTTTGTTTTATTTAAAAAAGATGTAGTAGGCATAGTAAGATATCTGTGAAAGGTCCTCATACCATTTTCTTCCCTCGGCATGTCCCCCCTCCCCGCCCCTCCTCCCATCCATATATTTTCTCTTACTTTCTCTTTAAAAAGGCTTTTATATTCAAATAGATAAGGAAATAGGCAACTGGATTGCTATTTTCTATTTTGGATAATGCTTACAATTATTCTTAACAATAAGAGGCACATTGTACACAAAATATACGAATACATAAATTATGGCAATATTCTTCCAAAGCTAACGTAAAGAAAAGCTAGACGTAGGAAATCAAACGAGACTAAAAAAAAAACCGAAAAGGTTTTTCCATGTATAATTCGAATAGATGAAATTCATCAAGACATAATGATCAAAAAATTATGTAGAAGATAATTTTGATTTTATCAATTTATTGCCTAGTTATGATTATTAATTACTTGTTAAATCCGATTGGGGTACGTCTTTTTTAGGAGTAGAATGCATTATGCTAGTGCACATAAACTTAATTTTTGTTTGTTTTTGTTTTACAGCAGCTAACCAATGTTTCCAATTATTATCAAATACCCGTTTAAACTTATTGTTTTTAACATAGGTTTAATATCGTAATGAACGATAATATCTTAAAATGGCTTTGAAATAATTGATCAACGATAAGCTAAATTTACGTTTGATGGAAAGCGTGTAGTATTTGCGTATAAGATAATCAAATTAGATCGAATTCATTCACTTCCATAAAATCCAAAAAAAAGCTGACCTTATTTAAAGTAATTTTATCATCTAAAATCAAATTTTGGATAAACCTTCTTATAAATTTGGCAATCTCAAAATAAGTGTTCTATGCTTTCTTCGGAATTATAACAAAATGTACAAAAGTCTGATTCTCAAAGCTTACCCACAAAGTAGGATTGGAGGTAACTGAAGACTAAACCTGTTGCTGCAGATTGGTTGCAGGTTGGAGCGACCTTATACGCCCATACAGTTGGTTCTAACCGTCTCTTCCACATATTTGAACCAAATTCTTCTAATATAGTAGTGGTGGGGCACTCTAAGCCTGCAGATAGATTATTAAATAAATTGATAGATATGTTAATAGATGAAAACAAAATCAAAACAAACATGGATAAATAAATAAATAAATGCGCAACTAGATAAATAAATGAATAGATAAATAAATACTTGCATACATAGTCTACTAAATTCACAAATACACATATACAAATAAATTAATATATCTATTGAAATACTCACTTTCACATTGTTGAATTACACTATGAGGCTGTGGGGTAGGGGTCGGGGTCGGGGTCGTGGCGGGGACTGCGGTAATCGACATTGCGATGAAAGTGAGGAGACAAACTGCCAACATGATTAACGATTCTGTGTGAAGAAAACAAATATTGAAAAATCTTCTCAAACACGACGGCAAAGATTTTCGAGAAAAAAAACCAAACAATTTAAGTAGATAAAGCAACTAACTAAACAAACGTGCTAAGGGTGGAAATTGATCAAATTCTTATTTTTTAAGCAAATAAGGTGGACGATGCTCCGCATGTTAGTACATGCCAAGAAAACATCACTTACGGGCGTTCAAAATAGCAACAAAAATCGGATCGCAGCTTTGCGGCTCGTAAACGATGCTCTGCATCGTCATTGGGTCAACCCCCCCCCCCTTGGCAAAAAGCTAATCCGTCCCTGCTTTTTTGTAATATTTTGTATGCAAGAAATTGCCACTCCCGAGGCGGTGTCACGCAGAGGCCAAAAATCCGGATTTTAGTTATCCGGATTTTAGTTATCCTCTTAATTGCTGTCTGTCATAAATTATCTCATTAAAAATCCACTAACGAAGCAAGAAAATTCTCCCTTGAAAGGATTTTTCAAGGGATTTTTTAAGGGATTTTTCTGTGTAACACCGCCTCCGGTGGTTACATTTCACACTGACTATATGCGTACGCATGATTATTATAAGTTACGCGTAAAATAAATATAATTTTTAGGGCGGTTTGCAAACACTAAAAAGCCTACATGTAAATACAGGCTAAAGCAGCGTTTTTCAACCTTTTTTTTAAATAATCCGCATGACACTTCTTTCAAAGAAATGAAACAGTTTATCGTCACCCCATTCCTAAATACTTTACAGAAGATTCAGTTAGGATCCCTCTAACACGCGTCAAGTACCATCTACACTTTGGCAATTTTTATCTTCTAAATTTTGCGAGCGACCGGAGCAAGCGAGCAAAAAATTATGATACTTTTGTTATGATAACAAATGTACCTTATGATTAACACACGTGATAAAATATAGAATTAAGAGTGCGAGCATCTCGCTGCAGAAAACATGAATGCCAAAATCATTTGATGCGGTCAATTCGATGCACGAACATGAAGAGATTCGGGCTTCTCATTGGTCAGAATAATTATCATCTTTCTAAATGTTGCAAGCGAGTGAAACAAACGAGCGTGGTCAAAATGTAATTTGATATAAAGGATGTAATATATATTCAGGCAACTCTCTATTAAATAAAAGTCTATTTAATGGGCACTTCATTGCTCAACGATGAAGGTATTCAGGCACTACGCTGCCAGAAATCATCCTGTTTTTAAAAGTTGTGAGCAGTGAAGCGAGCGACGAACAAAGACACTCTATCACCTTCAAAATGCTATTTCCTCATGAAATAACATACTCTAACGGTTTTTAATAAATTGGTTTTCACATAATCGACGTTATTCCCAAAAAATGATTTTTTTAAAGTGTTACTCAAATTCTCAAATTCAACCGGCACCCCGGTTGAAAATTAAGTGCTTCTTAGATCTAAAAATCACAAAATCTAATAAAATGTTATTCAATGCGCTCAATGTTCACGAATTTGAAAACGGGTATTTCTTTGTAAAGATCAATTAATTTGAGGAAAAGCTTCATATTCTCAGTATCGATGTTCGCAAACTTCGCAGATCGACATGTGAATGGGTATGTATCTTGTTGTTTTGTTTTGTGTGTATGTTGCAAATAAAACATGGCACTCTTTTTGAATGTGTACTCAATAAGCAAAAATAGGGTTAGACCTATAATTTATATAGTTCCCATTTTGTACTTGTGAAATTAAAAAGGGGTCACGTACGTATTGAGGTAAATATTCTTGAACGTATGCAAACTTAAAGGGTCATTAAATTATTGACTCCGCGCTAACCATCGTGATCGAACACTTTAGAACAGTTGTTGAAAATGAATTGGCATCACTGCGTCCACAAAACGTAACTCACCAATCGTCTACTCTATTTGTAGAGAGTCTTAAAGAGTCTTGCAAACGGCCACCCTTTGTGCTGCTCAGTGTATGACGTTCTGGTTTGCCCGTATCAACAGCTTTGACTCCAAGATGAGGATACTGGTGGTTTATGGCTTTCAAATAGTAGCGTATGAAGATGCCAGGGGCAGGCCGGGCGGCGATTTTTTTTCTTCCCAAACAGGTTCACCTATGAGCGTAAAATCCTTCCTCCTGATTGGTTCAGAGGTATACGCATCATGATATTCATGATTGAGCTGCAAAGTTACTAGTAGTATTACGCATGCGCGTGACACAAGTCGAAGCTGCTCATAGCATGCAGCTATATGCTAGCTAATTGTGTACTTACGTATGTACACTGCATGCATGCGCAGTGATTGGTTCAAAGATGTAACTTTTACATGAGCAATTATGGCGGCGTCTGAATCTGAGAATAAATAGTGAGAGTTCAGGTTTTAATTAAAATTGGGATGTTTTAAAGCTTAAATTCATGAAAATAGGAACCTGCTGATTGTATTTATTGTTGAAAGCTCAAATTATTGCAAAGAGGAAAATTTTTGGTCACGAAATTTTTAAATTGACATTTGCTCCGTTGGGGGGGGGGGGGGGGGGGGGGGGGGTAAGGTCACCTTTTTAGATCAGCCATGGCATATTTCTTTATTTTTTTATAATATTTGTTTAAATAACATTTTCAATACATTTTTGGGCCGGGGGGGGGGGGGCACGTCCCGTTTTTCAGTATATTTTGGGCGAATTTAGGGCTGATTTTAACATAGTTTTTGACAGGGGGGGGGGGCATGTGCCCCCTGTGCCCCCCCGGATCCACCACTCCACTGGACAGAGAGAAAGAGAGAGAAAGAGAGTGTTTATGTATAGCCTATGTGTGAAATTGGAATATTTGTGTGTGTTACTATAAGTGAACTCTTTGTCAAAAAATCCGCAGTGTAAAAAATAGATGTGGAAAAACTATACAAACCAAACATGCACAAAAAACAACCAGAAATATTCACAAACACACAGGCACCCCCCCCTCCCTTCCCCAATAAAAATCCCCTCCACCACAGCTCACATACATTTTGTACACCCAAAATGGCTAGTGAAAACTGAAGTCCACGCGCATGCGTAATACATATACTAGGCTTTGCAGCTCAGCAATAGTTCTGTGAGCTCAGCTCATGAATATTCATGATGCGTTATACCTCTGAACCAATCAGGAGGCAGGATTTTACGCTCATAGGTAAACCTGTTTGGGGAAAAAAAATCGCGGCGGGCGGTCATGAATAACATGATCTTATATGACGTAATGAACGTCATCAGCATCGCTCAACTTGCGCTGCATGCAATGGAATGGATCGTGGGAGTTATAATTATGTAGCATATTGTGTATTTACTCATAATTTTCGTAATTATACAGTGT